AAACCGGCCGTACTGGGTCAGACCAAAGGTCCACCTAGCCCAGTAGCCTGCCTGCCAACAGCAGCCAACCCTAGGAACCCTGGAGGAGATGGACCGATGACAGTGACCAAGCCATTTGTCTCGTGCCATCCCTCTCCAGCCTTCCACAAATCTTGGGCAGGGACACCACTCCTACCCCCTGGCTAATAGCACTCCATGGACCCAACCTCCATGACTTTATCTCACTTCTCTTTAAACTCTGTTCTAGTTCTAGCCTTCACAGCCTCCTGCAGCAAGGAGTTCCACAGGTTGACTCTTTGCTTTGTGAAGAAGAACTTTCTGTTACTAGTTTGAAGCCTGCTACCCATTCCTTTCCTTTGGTGTCCTCTAGTCCTTCTTTATGGGAACTAATGAAGAACTTTTCTGTATGCACCCTCTCCACCCCACTCATGCTTTTATAGACCTCTATCCTGTCCCCCCTCCATCTTCTCTTTTCTAAGCTGAAAAGTCCCAGTCTCTTTAGCCTCTCTTCATATGGGACCTGTTCCCAACCCCTGATCATTTTAGTTGCCCTCCCCTCTCCCAGCCTCTCTCTTCCCCTCTCCCCCCTCCTTTTCCCAGTCTCCCCCAGTTTTGTTCAATAAAGACAGATTCAATTTTTGAACACAATTGTCCTTTATTTTGTACATCAAGAAGAGGGGCTAGGGAAGGGTAAGTGGAAGGAGGTGAGGGAGGAATGGGGTATGTGCCCCTGATGGGGAGGACTGGGCTTGCTCTGCGGGCTTTTGGGGTGGAAGCTCTCCTGCAGCCCCCCAATTGACCCCTCTCCCCAGATGGCAGCCTGTGGCAAGTGCAGCCGGTCTGATGGCCGAGTGCTGTGATGTGCCCAGTGTGGGTACTCCGGGCAATCCAAGCCAGGACTGCTTTGCAAGCGGGGCACCCCTGAGAACTGTCTGTCCGGGGTGGGGGTCGGGACCCTTTAAGCACAGCCCTCGGCTAGCCTGAGACAGCATCTCCACGCTCTAAGTCCTCCTCTGATGCCCTGCCGGCACTGCTTCCGGCCATCCTTAAGCCTGGTTCAGGGTCCACTTAATGTGGACATGCTAGTTCGAATTAGCAAAACGCTAATTCGAACTAGTTATTTAGTCTGGATCCGTTAGTTCGAATTAGCTTAGTTCGAATTAACGTTGTAGTGTAGACGTACCCTATGTATCTGAGGAGTCCCCACTGACGTCAATGGAACTACTCAAGTGGTTAATTATTTTGCTGAATTAGGGCATGCTGGTCAATTTTTGTAATGTTCTTGTTCAGTACAGGAAATTCATTCCTCAGACTGCATGTCAACTCTGTTTGCTTTGGGTATAGAATTAATTTAATCCTGAAATAAGCAGTGGAGTGAAGAAAACAAGCTGGGTATAATTTGCTTCATTCTATCTCATCCCACCATAATTTTGTACTTAATTAAGATACCTCATCAGATGCTTACAAATAAAATAAGGGAAAGACTTACTAGAATACAGATATGGGTTTTTTTCACTCCTATTTATAGCAGTGAAAGAGAACAGTTATTGGGAGGACAACATACAGGCTATTAGGATACACTTCTGCTCTCCCTGGCAAGGAACAGGACAAGTCTATTACAATTATTACACTGATGTTGATTAAATAACGTCAGCTGTGATTAAAAAAATGACACTCAATTAAAGAAAAAAATGTCACGTCACTTGATGTTTAGCTGCTTGAACATTCCATTTCATTTTCTGAGGCTCTCAGTAAAATCAAATCAATGAAGCGGAGATATTACACTTTGCTTCTTTACTTTTTGACAACTGGTGGCTGTAATGTACTCCACAAATAATCTAAGCTTTGAGGGGGAAAAAAAGGCTCCTTCTTAACATTCACCTGGGCTATTTTTGACCAAGTCAGTCCCAAATTGTAATGAATGAAAGCCTCTTCCACCTCCCACTACTTTTGAAAAATGGTATGGTAGATAGGTAGCCTTGGAAATTTTAAAGTAGAATGAAGGATAATAAATAAATCATAATACTTCACTCATATATTCTGTTGTTAATAATAAGCCATACATGTAATAATGTTTAGACTCTTTTACTGACTGGTTCATAAAAACTGTCAGGGAGGACGGTCATGTGACTAAAGCACCCCATTAGAAGTCAGGAAATAACAGTTCTGTTCCTTATTCTGCCACAGATTTCGCTGTGATTTTGGGCAAGCAACAATCCCCCTGTTTCTTAGCTTCTTCACAGATATAATATGGATACCTCCCAATCAGAGGCTGCTGAGAGACCTGAGCTGATACCTGCAAAATGCTACAGAAAAGTGTTAATGTATCTTCAAAAAAATCTGAAAACCAACCCTTGTCGATCTTTCTGGAATTAGGATTTTCAGTAGTTATGTATTTATTAGAACTTTAGTTCTCTGCATGGTCTCTTCCATGAAAACGCATTGGTCCAAATAAATGAATACTGGAAATTACAAATCTGACAGTAAGTGTCGGTGAATACAGAAACCGTCACAAATCTTAGTTTGGTACATGTCCAAAAAAGTAGACCTTATAGAGAACAGGAGTCTGATTCCCTGCTGCACTGTCACGAGGTGCAGCACAGATGGCTCAGCCCAGGCCAAAGGAGACTGTCGTGGAGGTGAGAGACAGCAGAGGTGGCACTATTTCATTTTTGTACTCTCTGGATTCCAAGCTGCAGTGCAGCCCATTAGAGCCAAACACTATGAGCACACTTCCACCCACAACTGATCTGCCCCATCTTTCCTACCCTGGGACTTGAGAAGGGGCAGTGGCTGTTTAGGATGGTTATCCTCTGTGCCTATGTCAAGGGAATTCTTCCTTTGTCAACTGTTAATGGCCCTGATATGGTGCCAGAGTAGGGGACAAAACCTGTCCCTCAGACTTTACAATTCATACCAAAGAGAAGACCTTTCCCAAGTAAAGTTTTCCCTTTGTGTACTTGCATGTGTCCTCTTATCACAGCAGTGTATCCTCATCTGGATTTAAAGAATCTATGTGTTCTGTAGTACTTGTGAGAACAAGGATTATACCACCACTTTAATCCCAACAGTTATGAAATCTTACCATCATCCGGTACAGTGTAACGCACGTATTCAGGAAAGTAATCTTCGATTTTAGATTTCCCTGCCAAAACCTTTTCAGCCAGCATGTCCTGTTTGTTCAAGAACAAAATGATAGAAATGGTCCGTAACCACCTGTGGAGAACAAACCAGATGTTGATGCCAACTCTAACATATCCATCGGACAACCATTTCACAAAGAAAATCTTTTATGGCCTTTCTTATTTTGCGTGGCCTATGTGGTCTTTTAATCAAGTTTAACCAAAAAACAAGCTAAACTAATAATTTAGTTATCTTGAATTCACATGCATGGGGGTTGATATATCAATCGTGTTTAAAATATTTGAAGGCAACAAGTTTAAAATTTTGTTTTATAGATTAGCCCCCTACCACCAAATCAGGAAACGCTAACCTGAGACACCAGAGAGTTAACAATTCCAAAAAAATGTTACAGTACAAAATTAATACTAGTGCTCCTCAGCATGTAAAGATGTGCTTGGTTCTGCTAAAACAACAGAGAAATATTGGAAGTTACCTATTTTTTTTGTACATTATTCATACAAATACACACAGACACAGACAGTGGCCTATATAATACTTGATGAGTCAGGGGAAGTAAACCCCATTCTACCACAATAATGCACCAGACTATTATTGAGACACTACACTACTGGGATTTGTGCTACAAATTCTTCCTGAACTGATCTAGCAATCACCTCATGCCCTGGAGCATAAAGGTAAATAGAGCAAGCCTTGTAACATTTCACTTTAGTAAATGGCAAACTCTAAGTTTCATACTACTCTCCCTACAGATTTTGGAGCTGCTTGAAATGATGGCTTGCAAGATTTTGTGGCTATATTAGGGATGGGAACAAGAAATGTGACATCATGTTGTCACCTGGACCTACCATGGAGCCCCATATCATGTGCTAACCCTGACCCAAACAATGGGTCTTAAATTCTTAAACAGTGCTACTTGCTTATAACTGGGTGCAATCCCACTGGACTTGTTTTCAGGAGATGACTCTTAAGAGAGCCGCTGCCAGTATGCTCTTGTGGTACTGAGACTGGTGCTGTGAACGTGCATGAAGTTGGCTGCTGCTACTGCTACCATATTGCTGTGATGAGGACAGCCTCAGTGTATCTCCTCCCACCTGAGAGGGAAATGGAGCTGAAATATGAGAACATCCTGATCTTTCCTACTCAAACATAGCGATGTCAGAATTGGCTTTCACTTCCCCCCTTAGCTGGGCTTAACACAAGGAACACAGAAGTAGTGATGGCTCTTGAGACCTGTCTGCTGACTATTCCAAAGCCCTTCTCATTCCCTGTCTGAATCTTTAAAGCTTCTGGTTAGCCATCTGGCCTGTTAGCTTCTGGTTCAACTCCATGATCCTATTAGAGTACTGAGAAACTGACATGGTTTTGTCTCTGCAGCAGCCCTAAATGGTGTTGTGGAGGGGTTAGTGCAGTGGGTGGTGCTTCAAGATTTTTAGCAGGGAACATTCTGGTCTTGTCTTAACATTTTTTGAACAAAAAATATCTAAATACTTAGCAATGGGACCTGCTCATTAGCGAGGTGTTACTGCATTCAAGCACATGTTCACTTTAAAGTGGCAAAGGTTTTTTTCAACTGGTAAGGGAAGGTATTTTTTTTTCACATTTCTATAAGTTGCTACAGAGACATTAATAACAGAAAAAGTACTTGACTGAGCCTTTAATTAGGTTTTTATTATCTATTTTATTAGAAATTACTAGCTAATATTTAAATAATTAATGCTTGAACAATGCTTAGAAAAATGTAAGTGTAATACTAATTTTGTTATTACTGACTACGTTAACACTTCAAAAAGAGATTTATTTTTACCTATTGTTCCAGATGCTTTTGAAGAGATCCAGGGATTCCCGTAGTCTGTTTGTGTTATTGTCTTCCCTTATAACCATGTTATAGCTACTACAGGCCACAACAAAGATTATAGCAGTGACATCTTGGTGGAACACACAAAAGAAAAAAAAAAGAGAACAGAATGTTTCATATACCCAAAACAGGCTGAACAATGTAATATTTCAGTGCAGCCACACAACGGCTCCACACAACTCCATCTGCAATGTGTACTCTAATTTATATAGGAAGAAATAATATGTGATGCTGGGTTCCTTTATTAATGTCACATGGTGAAGTGCAATTTTAATCTCTGTTCAAATGAGACGGTTTTGCTTTAAACACTTCATTCAGTAAAAGAAACTTAAGAAAATATGCAACGAACTGATAAAATAATAAAACACACACTGACGTTTTTGAAAAAAGGGACTGGCTCACTTAAATTTAGTGTAAAACAAAATTATAAGCATAATACAGAAACTCTTCCAGCAAAGAACAGATAAACTAAACACGTGGTGCAGACTCACCGTTAAAACATTGGATCCATTTTCTTCTTTCGTCTCTCTGGCCACCTACATCAAACATGCTGTTAAAAAGCCATAGGATGTTATATCATTTTGTGTGAACTAGGAAAATCACATAAAGCATGCAAGGTTAGGGTTCACTTTAAAACGTCTGACAGACACAAGGGCACTAACAAAGAAATACTGCCTGAAGGGGAAAAGAGGTCCTGAAATTGAGTTGCATGAAATGCAGATATAACCATTCTATCTCTTCTGCATGACTGGGAGAATTCCACTGCATTTATACTTACACACACTTTTCCTGCAGATGAAATAGACGTTTAAAGCCTTTAGAACTATATA